TGTGGAAGTAGTTCTTTTGCAGTCAACATGTAGGTACCAGCTGAGAAAGATTATAAAGCTTGAACATCTTTGTCTTATTTACTTGGCATTTTACAAAATTTGGATAGTTTAGTTTAAATACATTTTATTGTTCAAAAAGGACAAACGGATTAGACCCAAGTTTTTCAACTTACTAAAGTCTTCTTCAAGACGTACATAATTTGGATAGAAGTTCATGTTTAATCTAGAGATAACTCTGAACAAAATTACAATTGTTTTTTTATATAAAATTTTATGAAATGAAGCAAATTTAATTTAAAAAACAAAAGTATGAAAAAGGACATTTTGATTTAACCAAATATTAGTGAATCCAGTATTTTATTTAGAAATTATTTAAAAGGATGGTGCGCGACAATGTTTAAACCCTTTATGGAAAAACACTGTCATTGAGAGTGAATCAGAACTATCTTGTACAAAACTATGTACCTTTATAATAAAACATGACCTTTGATAATGAATTTATTCAAAAAGTGAGGTTTCTTCATTTTATTTTATACATGTTACAGGAGTCTCTAGAAAGCCAAGCAAAACCAAAGGATAATTTCATATATATATGGACTTCTGTAGGTATGTGTATATATATGATATTTTCTGAACAATATTTTTGGTCTACATACACATATATATGCAAGATTTGGAGAGTGTCTTAAAAAAAATACTTAAAAAACACTTGTTTTTCCAAACACAGTGCAGTTGTTAATGCTTCATGCGCTACCTATAATACGTTAAATGAAAACAAACTTCTTTTGATCACAACACTGAAGAAACTGCTTGATTTTGTAAGTAAAAAGATCAGTTGTGTTTATATTTTGTATAAGAATAGATTTTTTCTTATTACAAATATTAATTGCTTCAAGTTTTTTGCTACATAATTTTAATATAAATATAAGAATATGTAGTATGATTGCCAATGAGACAACCCTCGACGAATGACATAGAAGTTAACAATAAGCAAATCCCATGACAAATGTAAAACAAAAAATCATGTGTCTAAGACTAAAATATCAATCAGCACACATCCAACATCCAATGGATTTAGTGAAAAGACTCCATTAACAGTCGGAGAAGAACATGACCTTGTGCAATGCCAAAATATAGGTATCGACAGATTGTAGAACCGTGAATGTACATATGTATATAACAATAATGTTTAGTTTGGTTTTAATTTACTGATAACAAAATCAATATTTATATCGATAAAATACTTTCTAGTTTTATCCAAAGATGTTATATCACAAGGGAGACAAATCATGTTTAAAGTTACTGAGGTTGTTTCATCTATAATACTAAAATAACGATGTCCAATTTGTTATCCGGCATGACGTAAAAATGACGAACTAAGAATTCAACTTTATATTTAACTAGTATAGGACAATGGTGTTGATTAAAAATTACACTATTCTGGGCCCTTTTGTCTTCTACATAATTAATATTGCCAATAATTAACAAGTCCCGGGTCGAATCCGATACCGATACCAATAGTATATGTCACATGTAGTTTCCTGTTGTTTGTATGTTCTGTATCTTGAGCACCACCATGGGGTAAGGTGTAGAGAAGGACATTTACTACACTGTATCGGTACAGATTTAATGATTGCATTTTTCTACCCAGTTTCCCAGCCTTGCCGTGACGGGTCTAACTAGCAAAAAGTTAACTTTCCCAAAAAACAGAAAGTACAATGCAATAAAACATATGAACATACACTCGCCTGATTTGCTCATTCTAAAAATTGAAAAATTGAAAAACAATTATATGCAAAATAATGGAAAAAATTGTAGTAAGAAAACCAGGACGGGTTCAAAAGGAAAGATTTTGAAGGTAGAGAAAACTGTGCACCTTATAATAAGCATGACTTTATCAGGTGACAATACGAATACTAAAAATCCAGGCTTGAAATAAGGCGTTGGTACTCTAATTCAGTCACGGACCCGCGATGTCGTGGGTGTGTTCTAGTTATTTTTTAAAAAATAAGAACTTCCAGTGTATGGGAATGAATCAAATTAAGCTTAAATATATGATGATGAATGTAATTGTTTTCTTTTCAGAAGAAGACAACTTCTAGAAGGGAGACATTTAAAAGATAGAACAATCAATTGTTATTATGTCAACAACATATAAAGTTTATTGTAACGTTTTGAGAATGTTTTGAATATAAATATTTTTGGAAGTTTTTTTTTTAATTTAGATTCTACAACAGACATGTTTCGAGGAGAAAAAATATGAATGTGATTCTTAAGCAGATTTATTGAATTATTTTATTTTAAAAGATACTATGATGTCAGATGACTCAAGACATTGGATATAATTATATTATTTATAGAATCAAAATTGTATTTAAACTAAAGCTACAGGAAACATCTAAAACTGCCAACGAAACTACAGTGACCAAAGATTGTTGGTTTGTGTTCCAACAAAAATATATATCATTGTCTTTCCGAACATGTTAGTGTCAAATGTATCTGATGAAGGTTTTAGAAACATGAAAATCATGTTACAGATTTTTTATATATTGGCATAAACAGGAAAATACATTTAAAGACAGATTGAAAAGCCAAATCTGGTCTGTAATATGATACTGATATTGCTTGTCAAAAGGAGATTTGTGGTCTATATAACATTAAGAGATGTGGTATGATTGCCAATTAGACAACTAGTCCAATATGAACCGGATTAAAGCAATTATATGTCCCTGTACAGCCTTCAAAAGTAAACAACAGCCATATTAGTTGTGTGGAACATATAGAGTGTGAACTAGTTAACTTGACACAAAGGTTTTATGGGTGATATGGAATAATGTCTTTTAATTATTTTGTAACATGTAATATACACATGTTTGTAACACACATGTTTGTTACACACATGTTTTACGCATAATGTTGAAACGCATCTTATACGGATGTTTGCTACAAACATATGTTTAAATCATGGTTTTGAAACATGCTTTTTGCATCAAATATATTTTTTGTTTTAAACATGCGTTTGACAGCACATGTATTTTTCATGCGTAAAACGCACTAATAAAGCATGTTTGAAACATGCGTTTTACATGCAGGGCAAGAAATAGGCATTTCCCATGCGTTTTCAAACGCAAGTTGTACGTACGTAAAATGTACGTAAAACATGCGTGGCACTTTTTCCTGTGTAGTTCATAGAAAATGGAAGTCACACTAAACACCTATCCATATAAATGAACCGAAATTTAAAAACAAAACATACAAGACTAACAATAGCCAGAGGGTCCTGACTTGGGACAGGTGCAAACATGCGGTGGGGGTTAAACATGTTTTGTGAGATCTCAACCCTCTCCCTATACCTCTAGCCAATATATAAACACACAGCAATACACAGAGTACAATTCAGTTTAAAATTAGCTTCAAGCATTTACATATAAGTTCTAACGTTGGATGAATAGAACATCTATATATATATATATATTAAATGACTGAATAATAGCCAACGATAAATCTTACGGGGCGATGGATCATATAAATATGATACAGTACACTACAAAATATAATATATAAAATATATAACCAGTCTAAAAGGGTACAACATCACCAAAAAATGACAATAAACGAACAAATGTAACTATAAATATTTCGGATAACAGATATCCTTCATCAGTATGAGCACGATGTAAAATGAATCAGATCAATCTATTCTGATTATTAAACTATATCAATCTTGAATTCTATACAATAAAAAAAGTGAAACAGTTTCACCCGAACATCATATGTAGAGACGCTAATAAAAAACATAGAATGAATCACTCATTTTCCCTACCATCACTCATTTTCCTGACATCATTTGTTTCCAGTTACTCCGGCGTCCTTACTTGACCCTTACAGTTTTAAAGATTCTTTTTGAATTTTACTAGTTTAAATACCAGGGTTCTTTTCATTTGGTAGGGATGTACAAGTACGCATCCACGTCCAATTTTTTAACCTTATCCCAAATTTACTATTATTTTTTCTTGTCATTATAAAACTGCTATTTATTTGGGATGATAAAAGCCTCTGTTTGACATATTTTACCAGCTTATATCGATCAGTGCTGTTTTTTTTTGGGAATGTATTAACACGCAGTGGTTGTAACATCTTAACTGACGTCTTTTTGGAATTTAAGAGTTGTGCCAGTTCATATCTCTAATTACTATTTTCATTTTAGGCATGTCTTTGAGTCGTTTTTGGAAATTTTAAAAATTTATTAGCGTCTCTACATATGATGTTCGGGTGAAACTGTTTCACTTTTTTTTATTGTATAGAATTCAAGATTGCTATAGTTTAATAATCAGAATAGATTGATCTGATTCATTTTACATCGTGCTCATACTGATGACAAATATCTGTTATCCAAAATATTTATAGTGACATTTGTTCGTTTATTGTCATTTTTTGGTGATGTTGTACCCTTTTAGACTGGTTATATATATATATATATATATATATATATATATATATATATATATAATTTTTGCATGAGTTATTGCTAGTTTTTGTTTTTAATTTCAAAACAAGTTGCGCCTAATTGACTCGTGCAATTATTAGAAACAGCTAATTAACACATGCTGTTCTATAGACTACAAAAGAAAACAAATGTTTTTTTTGTTTGTTTGTTTGTTTTTGTATTTAAAAGGCATTTGCTTATATATGATAGGACTTGTTTTTTTTTAAATCTGCATCATATGTTCAGGTTCGGTGAATTTAATTTGTTACGTTAATTTTGTTTTTGCCACACTATCACATCTTCAATTATGCAGGGTTACATTCTATAGACTTTAATCAAATACGTAAAGGCTGCATATACAGATGACTTCATAAATTACGTTTGTATTGGTATTTGTTTTTGTTGTTGTTGTTGTTGCAATATAGTTGTTTTTCCCCTTCTGATATTTAGTTTTGCGGAGATGTGTATTGATTTGATAAGCAACATTGTGTTGACATTGATTTTGATGGACAATTTAACAAAGGCGGACAATCCTGTGAATAACCTCATTCAATACCTTATTTTCTCTATTTGGATCGATATCTGTTCTTTCTAGTAACAATTGAAGTATGTTGAGGTGTCCACCTCTAGCAGCTGAGTGTAAAAGAGTGTCACCGTCCTGAAATAAATAGGTTGTAATGTTCATTGTATATAACGTTGGTACAGAAAAAACCTCGTAGAAATGATTTGAGAACACAAAAAAGCATATGCCAACAATTTGTAAAGTAAACTTATGAAATTTTTCAAAAATCACATTTCCCTTTAAACAGGAAATGTGCATTAAGTAAATAACTTGTGTACATAAAAAAATGTTCAGGATGATGTGTGTTAGAATCCCATCTGAATGGACACAGATTGCAAGTTATTAGGAAAGTCATAAACTTAAGTTGCATGTTAATGCCTTAAGAAAAACACTAATTCGCTCTTGTAATTTTATTTAACATTTAACACCCAGAAAAAAGTAAAACAACAAAAATACCGAACTCCAAGGAAAATTCAAAACGGAAAGTTCCCTAACAGCTGGCAAAATCAAAAGCTCAAACACATCAAACGAATGGACAACAACTGTCATAATCGCGACAAGGCACAGGCACCCTTCCATGTAGAAAACTTTGAAGTAATCCCGGCCGTTAAGCTAGCTAAACCTCTCACTCGGATGACAGTTGCATAAAATTCCATTATATTGCCAACAATGTGTGAACAAAACAAACAGACACGAAAAGTAAAATGTCAAAAAAGAGGTACAGCAGCCAACATTGTGTTATAATCTCAATTGCTATAAAAACAAACAAATATGTCAACAAAGAAAACCAAAAAGGCATATAGACAAAGCACATACGAAAATTCAAACATAAGAATACAAAAAAATGACAACAGCACAAAACACAATGGCGGGATGTACAAGTACCGAGCCACGTCTAAAGAATGATACCATAAATGAACCATATAGTAAAAGTTAATAATTTGCAAAGACAAATAAAAGAACACGATAACACGTAATTAAGATGATAAACAACGTAAATACTTAGAATCTATACTTCAAGACCATCATGCATTATTTGTAAAGTTAATACGGAATATTTATCAACAAGGTCTTGGTTTCTTCCGATCAAATTTTTTTAGAAAAAGGACGAGACGGTCTTTGACATAACCCTGGTTCATCAACTTTCTGCTCAGACACTGGTGACGTTTTACAAAGTCTTAGTAGCAGCTGCAAGCTCTTGAGCTCTTGAATACCGAATGAGTTGGGAAATGTATATATATATTCGCATGCAGGTGAAGTTAGTATATTGCTACTAATGTTGGGGAAATTGATAATTTAAAAATTAAAATCGTCTTGTTTGTCATAGATTCTGGTACTGAGATGACCGCTGATGTCAACTTCGATGTATGAGTCTTAAAATGAGACCAAGGAAGCAGTGTCTGTTGTTTCTTTAATTTCTAGTTCTGGAGGATATATCAATGGAACCTAATCAGAAAAATTGGATTGTTTATGGAAAGAACATCCTCAATATATCTGAATGTGAAATTAATGATCTGGCTTCTATGATCTTCTTGTTTTTAACAAGTGTCTGAAAGAACTCTGACTCGTAAGAAAATAAGAAGAGGTCGACAAGGAGAGGCGCATAGTTCGTTCCCATAGGAATGCCGACAATATGTTGAAAAAGTCTACCTCCAAATTCAACAAATATGTTGTCTATAAGAAACTCCAGCATACTGATTACTTGTTCCTCTGTGTAGAATGTTTTACCATTTTGTTAACTATTAACAAAATATCGTATGGTATCCGAGAGGGATACATTTTTAGCGTTTGTTATCATGTTTATATTGAAAAGCATTGTTGATTATTTCTTTTAGACGATTTTTCAATTTCACATTGGGAATGTGTCTTTTCCCTCAAATGTGTCAAATCCCCCAAAACGTGCCAAGTCGACGTCACTGTATCCCAAAAACATTGCATGCTTGTTTTGGATGTTTCAACCTGTCCTTTCACTGACGTCTAATTATGATTATTTTTCAAAACAGTTAGACTTTCAATGGAAGTTAATTAATAACTTCGAAGGCACTTACAATTGCCATTATTAAGTAGATATAAAATAAAGTAGTTGCTTTGTTTAAAAAAAAAATCGATATTATTCTTTTTTTTTTTACTTAAAGAATGTTTTGTAATTAATTCAATGGATAACTTTAGAAATGTATTTTGCTTCCAAAATTCCGACAGAGTTATGTTAAAAAAACACGATTGAAGCCGAAATTGTGTATATGTATTCCTATTATCATTTCTTTGATAGAAGGTTGCTGCTAACAAGGAAGCTATTAAACCAAGAGTTCCCAGTGGTGAAGTTGAAATCATCCCTTCGTAAATTTCAAGGACGCCATCACGAGTTGGTTGACCGTTACGGAATATCCGTTTTACAGATGATAGCGGATATGTTTCTAATGCCGTTACTACAATCCCGTCCTCTTTTCCCGAATGTGACCTACCGAATTAGACTTATTACCAGGTTTGTATTAACATGAGCAACACGACCGGTGCCACATGTAGAGCAGGATCTGCCTACCCTTCTGGAGCACCTGAGATCACCCCCATTTTTTCGTGGGGTTCGTGTTGCTCAATCTTTAGTTTTATATGTTGTGCTTTATGTACTATTGTTTGTCTGCTTGTCTTTTTCTTTTTTAGATATGGCGTAGTCAGTTTATTTTCGACTTATGAAATTGAATGTCCCTTTGGTATCTTTCGCCTCTCTTTGACTGTAACAATTACGTGTTTGTTGACCAATACAATGTTTCGGTATCTAATATCACTAGCAACATGTTTCGCGGGCTTAGAAGTGTATATATAAATATAGTCGTTTAATCTGAAATATTACCGTTTATGACCTTTTGACTGAGTGTGGATTCGAATGCCAGATACTGCATGAAAACAGTAGACGCTAACTCTGTCAATGCCCCCGGTTTTTCTCCTTTTTAATTTCCCGCCATTCACTGACACATTTTTCTGACCTGGATTTGTCTCTTATAAATTTAATATCTGTTCTATATGATTATTATGGTTGTAGACCAATTTCAAACTTAAAACATCGAAAAAGATTGTTCTGCATATTGTATATAGTTTGAAATTTGTAATGGTCAATGTATTTTACTATCACATATTCACATATATAAACATATCCATCTCTGCTTATTCTTAGTTACATTATCTTTACATATATGCATTGGAACCTAACACAGCAATAGAACAATAACTATCATATATTGGCTCATGCATGAATAATTATTATAAAATGCATCTGTGCAAATGAACAAAGCGTAAACAAAAAATGGAAAATAACTTTTAATTTAATAACTTTTCTATTTCCTTAAAAATCATACTTTTATAGAGTGTAAATAGGTTTAAGATATTTTTGTCTTTGCATTCTATTGATTTTAATTTTTACACCTCTTTCCCTTTGCATATTTAGGTATGTATCGAAGATGTGTAAATATTAAGCTAAGATAATTGTGTTGAAAATGAATTTGATTGTTGTCTGAGCCGATTAAACGAACGTAGAGATTCCTGGTAAGAACAACTTTCCATACCTTATTTACTTTGTTTTGACCTATATCTGTTCTTCCTAAAAACAATTGGACTATGACGATGTGTCCTTCTTTCACAGAACAATGTAAGGGAGTGTAACCGTACTGAAATAGAAAGGTTGACATGTTCATAGCATCTATACAAACATATAAAAATGGGTGATTTTCCAGAAATAGTTTGATTATGAAAAAACACTATCAACTCTCAGCAACAATACGCTAAGTCGACATCTGAATTAGGAAATCCTTTTTTTTAAATAAATTACAATTACTCTAAAACTGTTTATGGCCATATGATTGATAGTTTGTGAACACAAACCATTGAATTAGAGCACGCTTTCAAAATATTATACTCAGAACGGAATGATTGGCAAAAACATAACTAATCCGATATTTCAAATGAGGTCAACTTTATATCAACTTGGTTTGGAGTTAAAGTTAGTGATTAAAGAGAAACTTTAAGATTTACATTTAACATTTTTATAAATTATCAAGCGGATTTTGATGGTGACACACACATGGTACATGTAGAGACCTTTAATGTTAACACAGATAATCCAGAGATAATTACTTGCACAGATTACTTCATTTAGATTTGACTTGTTGAATTACTGGAAAACAGTAGATGAATGCTACAGTATACAAAAGAACACACATTTTTGCTCCTGATATAAATGCTAAATATTCTGCTGAAAATATACAAAGGTTGAGTGTTTTTAACACTTGCTTACAGCCACTTCGTATTGAAAACAAATCTGAACATAGAAACCGTTAATGACAGCAGCTGTGCAAAATATTGAGGAAAACACATTGAAGTTGTTCATTAAATTCGAAACCAAATATAGAAAATTATAAAAAAGTTATCATATAAGTTCCTTGACAATGAATTGCTTAAGAATGGTACAGGTAGAAATGGCACACAGATATAATATAAGTTATCACATTTTGCTGATGATACAATTTTAATTTTAAAGAAAGGTTCAAAATCCTTAAGGGAAGTTTTAGATGAATAATAGTGTATGTAACAAATTCAGGGTTTGATATCAATTCAAAAACTGGATTTGTAATCAAAAATCTAGTAGAGATTTTCTTATGTCAAAATAGATATTTATTGTGGTCCACAATAACTATTGTGTATGTTGATATGGATAACATTATTTATTTTAACCGGTTTACGATCTAATTGAAAAATGGTAAAAACGAAACCATTCAGTAATAGATAAAAAGATAAAAAAAATTCCTAAACTTATTTTCAATCACCTCTTCATAAACTTTATTATACCTGTCCTAAATCACCTCATCAGTAGCTTGCCTAAATCAAATGAAAACTAAGTTAAAAAACTATAATGAACTTTTGTTCCCATGAGTTGAAATTAACCTGTACACAGACGTATAGATTTATAGTTTACATTGGCACAAATATCAATTTTGTCATCAGCAAGTTGAAACATAACTAAATTTGTATTCTTATCAAACGGGATGTATAAATACACATCCACGTTCATTTTTTTCTATATAGAGGTTAACTCCTAACTATCCTACTGCCTGTCGATACTTTTATTTTTGGCATTGCACAAGTCATGTCTTCTTTGACTGTCCATGACGTTAAAATACTAAATCCCTGGGATGTGTTTTAGTTGATTGTAATCTCTGATGCATGCTTTTTTATTATTAATTATGTTTCGCTTGTAACTAGCTTTCAGTAACTGCGAGTACACTCAAATCGTACTTTTGTGTTAATTTGACCTGTTGATACAATTTGTAATGTTTTTTCGTTATTTAATGTTTACTTATTTAGTGTTATATATCGTCTCTCTATTTTTAATATATACCAGCTTTGATAAGTGTTTGGTATGACTATAAATGTTCACTTCTGTTCTCGTACTATGAACAACACAATTATTTATTTTGTAAACAATATTTCAGATCTCTAGTACTGTATACCTTACAACAAAATTATTTTCATTTACCTGTGTACATTATTCTATTTGGCGGCACTTTGTTCAAAGATATGGTTGTATTTCTGAACTTGTCTAACAACTCAGCCCTTATTTTATTGATTTTGTATTTACATTGTGTCATAGATCAAATTTATTCGTTCAGTGTATGCTCACTTGTGTTAATATGTCTTTTGATTGAGTTAAGCCATTTCAATTAATATTTTATAGTGTGTCTTTCTATGTTGTGATGTTACACTATTGTTTCAGGTAAGAGTGAAGGTTGGTACCTATTGCAACGTTTAAACCCGCTGCATTGGTTTGTATCTGTCCTAAGTCAGGAACCTTATGTTCAGTGGTTGTCGTTTGTTGATGTGGTTCATACGTGTTTCTCGTTTCTCGTTTTTTATATAGATAAGACCGTTGGTTTTCCTGTTTGAATGGTTTTACACTAGTCATTTTTGGGGTCCTTTATAGCTTGCTGTTCGTTGTGAGCCAAGGCTCCGTGTTAAAGACCGTACTTTGACCTATAATGGTTAACTTTTACAAATTGGGACTTGGATACACAGTTGTCTCATTGGCACTCATACCACATCTTCTTATATCTATTTAAAAAAATCTGTTGCAAAACAACTATAGTGAAGGTAAGCTGAAAATGAAAGCTCTCAAGAGCAAAACATACAAATAATCAAATATTGTTTGAAAGTAAAGATATTTCTAGAATACAAGTGACGTGTTCAGAGTCAAGATATATTGGTTTTGATTTAACGATGTTGCAGGCAAACATTTCCAAAAAGAAGAAAACAAAAAGAGATAATTGGAAAACTTATTAAAACCAATTTAAAATTTGAAATGAGGAATATATAAGTCAAATAGTAATGGATGTGAAATTGCGATTAAGGAAGAGCCTGATCAGATCTAAAATTTAAAATATTAATTACCAGTAGTTCACCAGGTGAATTGAGGCCTAGATCCCTGACTTATTAAACTGTCAAAATGAACAATAATAAACCAATGGGCATATTTTTTTTTATCAGACTATCATTTTTTATGTTCTCGAATGAATTGAAATATTTTGTTTTCAATAAAATTGAGAATGGAAACGGGGAATGTGTGACAGAGACAACAACCTGACCAAAGAGCAGAAAACAGCCCAAGGCCACCAATGGGTCTTCAGCACAGCGAGAAAATCCCGCACCCGGAGGCAGTCTTCAGCTGGCCCCTAAATAAAACTGTATACTAGTTTATAGAAAATGGACGTAACACTAAACCCCGATCTATATAAATGAACCGAAATTTAAAAAAAAAACATACAAGACTAGCAATGGCCAGAGGTTCCTGACTTAGGAAAGGCACAAAAAAGCGTTGGGGTTAAACATGTTTTATGAGATCCCAAACCTCTCCCTATACCTCTATCCAATGTAGAATAAATAAAAACACAGCAATAAGCACAGTAAAATTCAGTTTCTGCAAGCATTTACAGTTAGGGTATAACTTTGAATAAATAGAACACATAACAATATACCTATCTTTATTTATATTTGGTGCATGAGTTATTGCTAGTTTTTAGTTTAATTTAAAAACAAGTTGAGCCTTATTGCTTGATTTTGATCAGACCCGTTTAATTATTAGACACAGCTAATCAATAAATGCTGTTCTACAGACTACAAAAAAAAAATCAAACTTTACAGACTAGAAACGAAAACAGAATTAACAGGTTTTTTCACTTCTCAAAAACATTTGCTTATTTATGATAACACTTTCTTTTTTTAAAACTGTATCATGTGTTCAGTTTCGTTGAATTTAATTTGTTAAGTTCATTTTTTTTCCAACACTATCACATCTTCAGTTATGAAGGGTTATCATCTTTAGAATATAATCAAATACGTATAGTATTGGCTGTATATACATGACTTAATGAAACACATGTGTCTTGGTGTTTGTTTGTTTTTATTATTTTTTTTAAATATAATTGCTTTTATCCCTCTTGTAATTTGCGGAGATGTGTATTGATTTTATAAGCAACATTGTGTTGACATTGTTATTGATGGACAAGTTTAACAAATTCGGACAATCATGTAAAGAACCTCGTTCAATACCTTATTGTGTCTATTTGGACCGATCTCTGTTCTTTCTAAAAACAATTGAAGTATGTTGAGGTGTCCACCTCTAACGCTGAGTGTAAGAGAGTGTCACAATCCCGAAATAGAAAGGTTGCAATATTCATAGTATCAAACGTTGGTTTGAAAAACCAACCTCGTTGAAATGATTAAATACAAAAAATAACATTCGCCAACCATTTCCAAGTAAATTTATGGATTTAAAGACCGTTTTTATCAATCATATTTCTCTTAAAACAGTTATTTTGCATCAAGTGAATAACTTGTGTACATATAAAATGCTTAGGAGGATGTTTGATAAACTCCGATCTAAATGGACCCAGAATGCAAGTTATTTAGCCGAAGACAAGTTGTTCTCTACGTACACCACAGCTTCCTCTACCAACAAAAACTGGTCGCCATGATAATAGCCAATATCATCGAACGTGGCTTTAAAAACCAATAAACAAATAAACAAACAATATCATGGTAAGTTTATATAATATATAATATCAGTATGGGCAGACATCAAGACAGAGGTCTCAATGAAGGCAATAGAAATAAGATTGACGTAACAGAGGGGCGAAAGATACCAGAGGGACATTCAAACTCATAGATCGAAAATAAACTGACAACGCCATGGCTAAAAAAGAAAAAGACAAACAGACAAATAATAGAACACAAGACACAACATAGAAAACTAAAGACTAAGCAACACGAACCCCACTAAAAACTGGGGTTGATCTCAGGTGCTCCGGAAGGGTAAGCAGATCCTGCTCCACACGAAAGCTGTCAAAAGTATATAGCAGAAAACACACAACTTGCTAAATTCACGTCATTTTGGTACCTTGTGGAAAGTTGATTCATTGCAATCAAATCACATCTTCTTATTTTCATAATGATAAAAATGTGTATATACTTTAACATCATTTTTCATTTGTTGCATAACTTTTATTCTTTTTTTCAAACCTCAGTACATTAAAAAAATTGGTGCTTATCTTATCCACACATTTTTTATTGCTATCAAGTTTGATGGCTCTCTCAAACGATTTATCAATCATACCACCCA